GATGACAATCAGCACAGGTCAAAGCTCAAATGTTTTGCAAAAGAATGAAAATACAAAGCATCTCTGGTTCTTTTGAATGCATCATTCAGGCAGAAGCTTAGTTTACATTTGCAGAGATTGACAATTCCCTCCGCCTCCAATCTAGCTTCATGAATCTGGCAACATCTATTGTTTAATACAAGTATGAACATTTACATTAGGTTCCTCAAATCCAGTCCTGGAGTGTCACTGCCCTGCAGAGTTTAGCTCAAACCCTGATCAAACTCACTCACCTGTGATTTTCCAGGGATCCTGAGACCTTGATGAGCTTGCTCAGGTGTGTTCGATTAGGGCTGGAGCTAAACTCAAGGTCCCTGATTTACATTCACTAATTTACCTTGTTTGCAACATCCAAGGCATCATAATCTGGTGCAAGACGAACGTATGCCTTCTTTTCGCCATCAGGCCTGCAGGGAGCAATAAATAAAATATTCAGAATGCATCACAAATCTGACAATGCCTTTCCTCTGTATCAGTGGTTCCTTTGAGAACATTGCATTTCAGAATAACGATAATTTTTATTGTAATTCAACAATATCTGAAGGCTCTTTAGATATTTCTATTGAAATCGACAACTAGCTTATAAATTGTAACACAAGCTGCAAGAAATTCAATTAAAAACTATTACTATTTTTACCATTCGTTTATAATACTAGACTGTATAAGAGACACACTTGATTGTTTTTAAGCCTTTTGATTTGAGATTGTTTTTAATATTAATATAATCATTTAAATGTTTTTAGAGAACCAATACTTTAAACGCCTTGATGAATAAAACAAGTTCTACCTGATCAGTGTGTTGACTTTAGCCACATCGATGTCGTAGAGTTTCTTGACAGCGTGTTTAATCTGATGCTTGTTAGCCTTGACGTCAACAATGAACACCAGAGTGTTGTTGTCCTCAATCTTCTTCATGGCTGACTCAGTGGTCAGAGGGAACTTGATGATGGCATAATGGTCCAGCCTGACAGAGTCAGAGAGATATTTTAAATTCAGGCAAGTTCCATAAAAACTAGAATTATATTTATTCTTTAGCCTCAACCATATCTCAATGGTGAAATGAGGATGCATCAGTTTAAAATTTTGTAATCAGATCATTTCATGCTTTGATCGCAATTCCCATCATTTGCATCCTAAAAGAAAAACGTCAAGACTACCTGACATTTGTGAACCATAATTCAACTTAAGTGCAACAAATGCACTCTTGATTTGAAAGTTCATAAAGTACAAGTCTCACTTGTTTCTGCGTGGAGCGCTCTTCCTAGGGTACTTAGGCTGCCTCCTCAGACGCAGGGTCTTGGGCCGGTGGAAGGTTGGGGTGGTCCTGATCTTCTTCTTCCTCTGGCTGTGGACACCCTTCAGCACAGCCTTCTTGGCTTTAAGGGCCTTGGACTTGGCCTCAGTCTTAGCCGGTACAGCTGTTGAAAAAATTATGACCATGCAACATTTACAAATCAGTCTATGAGACATACAATGAATGAGTATAAAGTTGTTCGTTTTCACGTAACGTTACCTAATAAGCATTTAATGGTGTTATAATAAAATATGACTTTCACAGGTACGTCATTTCTACATGGATATTACCGTGTTTACATTCAGACAGCAGCTATTAAATGCACACATTTTCACACAAACGTAAAAACAATAAGGTTTTAATGGCTAATTTAAAGACTCCTTTATTCACCAAGCTGACTGGTAATGAATGAGAAATGGATGGATACGAGTGGCCACGTGTGACTAGCTACCGATGACAAGCTATTGAGTTGCCATTTACATTTACTTATATTTTACTCCGTACAATCCACATAGAACGTAAACAACCAGTTTATGACAACTGGCTAATGGATTTAACCCTTGGGAGAGTCTGATATGAGACCGCGAGGGCATGCAGCTCAATTATATTAGCTTGCTAGCCGCGGTTGTGACTAAACTCCGGCACTTCTTGACTAAAAACAGTATCATTTCACTCCAGACGCCTAATTAAACAGTTAGAGACAAACATACATATATCAACTCCAATTAAGCGAAACCGTAGCTATATATAATCGCGATAAACTTTATTTTGATACCATAAAACCTATAAACCTAACGCACCTTCCTTCTTCGCCTTCGGGGCCATGTTGGGAAAGGAAGAACGAGAGGGGTTTCCTTCAGTATATCGCAGGGGTTCACGTTAACACACACAGTCATCGCGAGAACACCACTAGGCATTATGGGTTGTGTAGTTCACTTGCGTGCTGTAAATATCGAGCGCAGCCACTGGAGACTGGTGTTTATGTTGAGCACAGTCACGCTGTGAGAGCGAAAAGTTACTTTTAAACGATTATTTCCAAAAATGTATCGACTAAACAAAGTTACTCTCAAGTCTAAATTAGGCTCCTTGTAGAATGTAAAAAAAAGCCTTCTGCCTTTTAAGGTAAGTTGTATTTAATTTTTCCCCAAAAACATATTCATTTGTATTGCTTTTAAATATCGTTTTGACATCAAATTTTGTTATACAGCAGCATGTTAATTGGCCGTTAATGTTAATGTTACTTACTGTTTTTAATTGTATGTAGGCCTATTTTTATTATTGTTATTATTACATTTTTGTACAATGAAATTTTTCTCTTACATTTGACATTTTTATTAATCCTACTAGTCAGCGGACAGAATGCCTGAGTATTTGCGGTTGTATTGGTGTGGTCTTGTTAAAGCTCTCCCATGATGAGCTCTCTGCCCCCTGTGAAAGAAGACAGGATCATCTGTGAACTCCCTTTGGTAACACATTTTTTTTTTTTTACATTTTTAATTAGTTATTAGTTTTGTTTTAGTCCCTTGCTGTTTTGTTGCTCAAAACTCATTCATTTTAGAGGATTATTGTATTTAATCACCCACTGGGCATTATAATCCGGACTGGACTGGACCAGATTATTATGTAAAAAGCTACCTGTTTGTTTTGTCTTGTAATTTTTTAAAGTCTAACCTAACAAATTTCTATTGGGCTATTTTTCAGTACTTTACAAGGGATGCTGCAGTGCACACCAAAGATGGCTTCAATATTACTGTTAAAGAGGCATGTCAAGGACAGAAAACAGGGTAAGTTACTCTTTTTCTCTCTTTCACACACATATACAAGCTTTTGTTTTGCTAGTATAGTGGGGACTTTCCATTCAAAGCTATTGTTTTGAAATTTTCAGTGTTTATTATGTTTATGGGGACTTTTGGCTGGTCCCCACAGTGCAGGCAAAACTTCATAAAGCCAGAGTGGTTTTGATTGTATATAATACAGATGTATCATGCACTCTGAATGAACATAATTTTATCGCAAATCTACATCTCCAGATTGAATGTAGCCAAGGTCATTGTTGTTGGTGATGTAGGAGTTGGAAAGACCTGTTTAATAAACAGGTAAGAGTCTGTAATGTTCATTTATTTATTCTCACTTCAGATCTCATTGTGCTTTTACTGAAAGAAAAACATAAATTTTAACATAACATCCATACGTGTATAAAAAATTAAAAAAAATCTTGAATGATTACATTACGTTAATATTTCTGTCCTCGAGATTCTGCAAAGACACATTTGGCAAGACGTACAAGGCGACTATTGGAGTGGATTTTGAGATGGAGAGATTTGAGGTCCTCGGGGTGCCCTTCAGTTTGCAGTTGTGAGTTTTGTGTATTACTTTAACAGTCATTCATATGGCTGCATCCTTCGATCACAGATCTATCTCTCTCTCTGCAGGTGGGACACAGCAGGTCAGGAAAGATTCAGATGCGTTGCATCCACATACTACAGGGGAGCTCAAGGTAATAAAACAGACTACATTAAGCACACTCTTGCTGTGTATTGTGTAAAAACAATGTATCTTTTGTTTTCCAGCCATCATTGTTGTGTTTGACCTGAGCAATTATAACTCTTTGGATCATGCAAGGTACAATACGACCACTTATTTGGTTTCAAACACTGTTTGAATAGTCATGAATCAAGTCTGTCTCTGTTTATTCAGAGAGTGGCTTGAGGATGCCATGAGAGACAATGACCCTTCCAGTGTTCTCCTCTTCCTCGTGGGAACCAAGAAGGATCTTAGTGTGAGTTTTATTTTCAGTTGATCTCTTCAAAGCCTTTCAAAATCCTGACAATCCTCAGATGGTGTTTCCTTGAGGTAACTAGTCTAGATGAATCTTTCTCTCCCACAGCACCCAGATCAGTTGGCCCAAATGGAGCAAGAGGCCGTTCGACTCTCTGAGGAGATCAGAGCAGAGTATTGGGCCGTGTCTGCGCTGTCAGGTGAACAAGTCTGTCTAAAAGACTTTTAACAGCAGCTGTTTTGATTGCCATCAAACTATTTTGTGTGTCTGAGCTGATGTCCGAAATAATATCTAGATGTTCATAAATACGTTTTGTCATAAATAGTCACATAAAAAATTCAGTAAAAACAGTAGTATTGTGAAATATCATGATACTACGTTTATTCAGCAAGCATGCATTAAATTGATCAAAAGTGACAGTAAA